TGTGGGGTTCAGGGGGCAACTGGTTGCAAGGGAGGTAGTTTACATTGCCGGGATGTAGGGGGGGGGTTGGGTTTGTGGACTTGAGAAAACGCGTGAAATGTGTGTTTTTTTAAAGGGGGAAATGATGAGTGGGAGGGGTTGGGGGGAGGGTCAGCTAGTATGGTACTGCCACCTGAGGAAATGGGTTTGGGGGGGCGGAAAAAGAAGGAAGCGAGCAGTGTTTCGCGCCTTAATGTTAGCCAGGGAAACCCGGAAAGTAAAGGTGGGGAAATTTGTGTAAATTTTAAGAGACATGGGGGTGGCGCCGGGTTGGGAAGGGTCACCCCCCTGTATGCTGGGGTTAATATGGCGAAATTAGTAAATTAAGGATACGCCTAGGGCGGGAGGTTATGAAAACCCTTTTTTGCTGGGATTTTTTCCAACGGGAGCGATCTCCGAGATAAGGGTTATTGAGGGGGGGGGGTTTTGGCAGATGCAAATGGGGAAGAGACGCGTATCATGTCTTTTATTTTTGTGAAGGGTTTTTAGTGCATCAGGGTAGGATGCTAAGGAGGGTGAGGGGGGGGGTCAAAGGGGGGCGGGATTGCGAGCGTTGAGTCTTGATATATGGTGTGGGGAAGTGTGGGGAAGGGTTTAGCATAGTCAGGGACTACAAATATGTTTTTTGGGGTATGAGGGGGAAGGTGGGTGGGGAGTGCGAGAAGGACTTTTGGGGGCCCACGTTTTTTCGAACTTTTTGTCGCAACAGAGACATTTTTGGGAAAAGGTGGGGAAAATATTTTTTTGAGGGTTTTTAGGGACTAAAAATAGGGAATTTTTGGCGTTAAAGGGGGTTTAAACTGCCGGGGGGAGGGGTTGGGAAAAGGGGGGGGGGGGGTTTAGGGGATTTTAACGGGGGTCACCTCCTTGGGGAATGCAGTGATGTGGTTGGGTGTGATTGGAGGTACTAGTGTGTACCAATGAGAGTTTTTCCGATAAGTTTTGCTTGTTTCCCTTGATGGGGAAGTGTAAGGGAATTAAAAAACAGTATTAATGTTAAAAACCCTTTAAATTTTTTAAAAGTAATTTCTTTGGTAGCGTATTATGTTCCACTTGCATGGGATTGCAATTGAATTTGAATTTTCTTGAGAGGGTTTTCCCTTTCACTATTTCCTTGAAGCACTGAGTTATTTTTTTTTTTTTTTTTAAGTGGCCAGCTCGTTTTGGTAGTATTACCATTTTTTATTTTTCTTATTTAAGGGAGTAATTTTGGAGCCCGTACCATTTATGGTTGTAAATAAGTTTCCTCAAGTGACAGTGTCATAATAATCCTAAATGAGGGTAATTAAATGTCATATTTTTTCAGGTTGGGGATGGGGGTTTGTTTTTAATGTGTGGGGTGTGAGGGGGGGGGGGGGGAGGGATGATGGGTCACCGTTTGCAGCACAGGTTTCTTTAAAAGGCTTTGTGGGCTGGTGTATTTTTTGCGAGTGGTATTTGGGTATTGCATTAAGCTTGGGGCATTATTGTGTTTTGGGTTTTTAATTTTGGAGTTTTATTAAAACCATTTTGTGGGCCCTTTTTTATTATAAATTTATTCCTTTTTAAATTGTGATATGTTAAAAAAACTTTTATTATGACTGTCAATGTTTTCCTGGATTGTTTTGTGTTTATAATTGTTTTCGATGTTTCCTTGATCATTTTTTTTTTAAAAATTACCTATTAATATTTGTACATGAAGTTTTAAAAAAAAATATAAAAAAAAAAATTAAATAAAATGTAACCCTTTCATGAAAAAAAAGGAATCTTGAAAACCCCTGGGCTAGAGGTTCTGACACTGCAATGAACACTAATTTTTGGGGGGTGATATTTAAAAGGGGTTGGACTGGTTTCTTATGAAGCCAAACCACTGGTTGGGGTCGGGTTCCCCTCCTTTATTTATTTATTTTTTTTATTTATTAATTTGAACAGATACGAGAAGTACAAAATAATACAGTTAAATGCGCATGTCAAAGCCACTTTAATGCAAGCATTACGGGCAGGCTTAAAATTAACTTAAGATTAAATAAGCAAGATGTTCATTTTAATGTTAATA